CCTAGTCTTTACCTAGTCTTCCTTTTGCTGTTGATGTATTTGAAGAAGTCCTCCTTGTTGTCCTTGACATCCCTTGCCAAATTTAATTCAAAATGGGCCTTAGCTTTCCTTGCTGCATCCCTGCATACTCTGACAACATCCCTATATTCCTCCCAAGTGGTCTGTCCCCTTTTCTATATTCTGTATACTTCTCTTGTTTTCTCAGGAGTTCCTTTCTTATCCATGCAGGTCTCCTGACTGCTTTGCTTGATTTTTTATTCATAGGGATGCACCAATCTCAAGCTTGGAGGAATTGATTTAAACCATGCTGTAACAGGATTCCAACCTAGCCAAAAATATCTGCCAGAGCCTTCTCTTCAAAATCAATACCCTAAAAAGCACCAGGAAGACTCTGAATTCAAAGGCTAGTGTTCATTAAATAATGAACTAGAACAATGAGCTTTTTAAAATGGAAAAAGCTCATGAGTTGGATGGAGGGAAAGGAGTTTTAAAGGTTTGTAAGAGTTTATTTTTCCCCTACCCTGCTCTTTTGTCAGGTCAGGTTTTAGTTTCATGTTATGCTTCAGAACAGGTTTTGGTGTTTTCCGAAGCTGCAAAACATCTCCAGCCAGCCCCTGCTGGGTTCCTTAGGGACAACTATGCAGCTGCTCTGAGCAGGCTGCTCCCGCTCTTACAGGTTGTCTGGTTTCTGGTCTTTCAGGTTTGTTCCTTACCATCTTGCTCCCTTTTTTCCTTGCTTGGCTGCGTCTCGTTCTCTGGGAATTTCCCTGACTGAAGAGCTTTGTGGCTCTTGGGAATGGTGCAGCCTTTGCCCCTGCTGCCAGAGGCTTCCCCTCACCTGGGTGGCTGCAGCTGGGGCCGGGCAGTTGAGCCCTCTGCTGCTGCACCATGGCCTTCGGAGGGAGCAGACTGGGGCTTGGGGAAAGGTAGACACTGGAAAATGGTAGTTTCTCTTGGGATTTCATAAGCCTAGTCCAAACGTTTTTTGTGAAGTAGTCATTTTCCCTCTCCTGTCTCTACCCTTTTTACTTGGCATTGTACATTTTTAATTTTCTCGCTTCTATGCCTTCCAAACAAAGACTTTTCACCCATCCAGCTCCTCAACAATAAATGCACCAGCAGCATCTTGTAAAGTCTTGGTAGGTGCCCAGGATTTAGAGCACTGTGAGAGAAACAGGGAAAGTACAAAGGAACTAGCAACAGGTTAATATTTCTGTTTATTTTCACAGTGTCAGAAATCTGCTATTCTTTTGTTTTTAGCAGACAGTTAACTCTACCAATTACCTTGTCTAAAACCGTTCCTTGCCTCAAAGCATGTACAGCTGAAAGAAAGTGAAGAGGGCAAAATACAGAGCTTGCTTTAGTTTTGGTCACTTTTTCCTCCATACTTGTATCAGGTCCTTGCGTAGTTTGATATTAAGTTTTAATAAAATCCTGGAAAGTAAAAATAAACATTGCTTTGTTAAGCAATGCCCCGTTATTATGGTGAGGAAAAACTGTGCCCTAACACAAGATTTTAAAGTCTCTTAACTTTGCAGCAATAGCATTTTTCTTTCCTGTGTTGAAAAGTTTTTATACACCCACTGTTTTAATGAAGTATGTGTGGTGAAATGTGTTGTCTGGTGGTTTCACTAGATAAACAATGCGTATTAATTCAACTTAATTGTTTTAACACGGAAAGGAGTCTTAAGGCAGTCCTGCCAAATTATGTCCAGCTGAATCTGCAAAAATCTGAGGAAGCCAGTGAGACAGCCTTGCTCTATGTGGGCTTTATCAAACATATAATAAATAGCAGTTGCTGTTTTCATGCAAAAAAAAAAGTTTCAGATGTGATCTCCTGAATCAAATTATCTTCTGAGTGAAGCATATGGAGTTGAACCCGCTACCAGAATTTTTACTTCATTTGACACAGGAATAAGATTTTGGCTGGGTGGAATGGGGTGAAGACTGACAGTGACTGCTGAATTAGGAATCTATTGTTAAGGGGTAAAGTCTGTGAGATGCCTTCAACTTCATTTTCATTCCTCCTAATCTCCAAAACCCAAAACAAATCATCTCTCCCCATCAGAACAATAAGGATATTTGGCAAATATCCTGGATCCCGGAGCTGGATTATTCCTCTTTTCTTATGTCCAAGCTGTTCTGGATCTAGCCTGAGACCCTGGCAGCAAGGTGATGCTTACAGATGCCAGTAACATGCTGTAACAGAGATAGAAGCTGTATCTGAACTTTGTCATTTCTTTCACACCACGAACATTACGTTAAAAAGCTAAAGCTATC